TTAAGACCCTTGATCCTCACCTGACTATGGCTTTGTAAACGTTATCCATGATGTGGTTTATAATGGACTGTGGTACAGAAACAGTGACAATGTTACACACTCTTGGCTTACTCTGGCTATTCTCTGCTGTCTCCAGACGACAATATGTTTGTCCCGTTTTAGCCACCGTAGCTTCTTCGGAAGGGAGGGGTGAGCAGTGGGCTGAGCCCTTAGTGCAAACTCCCAACCGAACCGCTAAATGTCGCTAAAAATCACACACTGCACCTTTAAATGGCTTTTGTAACTTTAATAAGGATTAATCTTTAATTGATCAAATATGTTATGTTATTTTACATTTGATTACTTTAATCAATTTCTGTACCTGAAAACTTATGTTAGACCAACTTGAAAAACCTGAAAAGAACTTCATTTTATTTGTATCTTTGCTCTTTTTTCTTTATTTGTGCTGTTGCTTGTAGTTATATTATTTGTTCTTATTATTTGACAGTAGTCCTTTTTTCCTGAACATAGCACATACCGAACACTACTGAAAGCGTGAACCTAAAACCGTGATACAAACCGAACCGTGAGCAGTTTGAACTGTTGTGTAAACGGCCCCATGAGCGTTTTTTCCACGTTGAAGCGCCGAGCGCCCGGCGTTTTTACTGGTCGCCGAGAGTTGAAAAATGTTCAACTTTGGATAAAACACAGCGCTCATCACTGTCACTTTTTACCCAGATGCCAATCACAGTGGAGGAGGGGCGGGGCTAATACCACACCGACCAACTGTCACAAACATTCTTTCTGTACAACGACATCAATAGAGCTAGCAGAGCTAACCGAACAAAATGGATGAAAAATACATTTTTAGTATGAAACAAATTATCTGCGAAATCTGTTAAGTAAACTGTGCTGCGGATATTCTGTATCATAGCAGCGAAATGTCTCAACGGAAAAAAGGCTGCGCTGCCAAAACGCTCTCATGCGCCCACAGCTAGGCGTTTTCAGCAGACCGTCTAGCGTTTTCAGCTGGCTAAAAACGCTTTGGTGACCAAAGCTTTTTTCCACGTGCCTGGCGTATGTTTTCAATTGTTTTCAATGGGAGCGCCGCGTTTTTAGAACGCCATGAGCGCAATGAGGCGCTGGACGTTTTTTTCACGCTGAAGCGCTGAGAGCTTGGTGTTTTTACTGGTCGCCGAGAGTTGAAAAATTTTCAACTTGGGATAAAACGCAGTGCTCATCACTGTCACTTCCACGACGCATGCGCGAGAACTGAACAAGAAGTAGTAGAAGAAGAACGTCCTCTTCTCAGTTCTCGCGCATGCGTTCTGGAAATCTCTTCAACTCTCGTCTCAAGACCCACAAGGAAGTAATGGAATAGTCGAATAAAGTCGTTATTTATGTTGTTTTTTTCGCACAAAAAGTAGTCTCGTCGCTTGATAAACTTATGGTTGAGCCACTGTAGGCACATGGAATATTTAAACATTTTCTTTAATGACTTTCTGGGCCATCAAGTTTCATTCCCTTAGGCAGCCTATGTAGCAGTGATCCACCTCTCAGATTTAATCAAAAATATCTTCATTTGTGTTCCGAAGATGAACGAAGGTCTTACGGGGTTGGTACAGCATGGGGGTGAGTAATTAATGGCTTAATTTTCATTTTTGGGTGAACTAACCCTTTAAGGTAAAGCTCAGATTTCTGTTCCACTCCCGAGCAATGCTGATGATTACTGCGATATTGCTTGGCAAACCCACCAAACAGCACAAACCCAGAACTACAGCTGGAGCAATCTGTTCTGAACCCAAGTCAAGTCAAGTCACCTTCATTTATAAAACGCTTTTAGTATGGACTGTTTCAAAGCAGCTTTACAGTGATAATAGAAATTACCATTACAGATTGTTTAGGCTTTATCACAGCTCTAAGACAAAGTTATTGTCCAGCTAAAGATAGTCTTGACTGATTCACTTCCGTTGCGAAGATCATTAGTTAACTTAGGGGCTGCTAACACGACACCGTTCAAACAGAAAAAAACCTAACGCGCTCCGGCTGCCCATCCGCAGTGCTGTTAGATGTGGAATTGAAGCATAATCTTAGCTCCATAATCAAAAATTGTTTTGGTCTGGAAAATGCTGAATCTAAGTTATGACTGCTTGAAGAACAGGGGCTATGTTGACTCCTTCCACCTCTGTAAACTAAAACCACAGCTAAGCTCTTATCTGAATCAAGGGTAAAAATAATTAATTAAAGCTCCCCTTTGACTCGATATATATATTTTCTTCTAAACCAAACAATGCAATTAAAATAAAAGATACAGAGACAACATTATGAACTCAAACTTCATCTTTAAAGGGGTCATATGATGCTATTTTAAACGTTCATTATTTTGTTTATTGGGTGTAATAGAATAGGTTAACATTTTTCACATCCTGCACATTATTGCTGGTTGTTAATCGATGGTATTGTTGAAGCCTTCTATTTGCATTATTTTTAGCTTATTTCTAAAATAGCTGTATTCTTCTGGTTTGTGGTTTTCAGATGTTTCTTTCTCTTCTGTTCTTCCTTTTACTAGCCTCTTTTGCAAGCTGCAAACATTTACCTCATATGCTTATTTTTTAAATAAAAAAATATTAAATATGTTATTATTAAGCCCATAATAAAATATAACGCCATGGTAATATATCACTACTTTAAGGGATGTTCTTAATTCTAAGTTGTACAGTTTTTCTCAATCACTTTGGCTCAATTCTCGAATGAGTTTGTCTCTCAAAACAATAAGATCAGATTTCTGAACAATTAGTTTCTGGTTCACAACATATTTTAATTTCTTATTGACTTAAACAAATTGCATGCGTTTTGGCATATGTATGCAAAAAAAGTAAGTACAATTGTCTTCAATTTGAACAATAACTAAATGCAAGAAACCTATTTAGTTTTTTCCAAGGCCCATATTACCAAAATATAGAATTCTGGTAATCCATACTCTGGGATACTTTGGACTCTCATGAGACCAAATCAATAATTTTGGATCATGTATGAATGAATGCTTGTATGAAATGCAGTCAGACGAATGTCGAATATTGTTTCTCCATCAACAGCATGTGTTCATCTACTGCAAAACACACAAGAACAGCAGGGAGAATTATTTCTTTCTGATACATTTTAGAATGTTTCCTGAAGAGACGGCATAGAGAAAAGGATCCAGACAGCAGTTTAGCAAAACCAGAGTCTTGCTTGTATCACCATAAACTCTACGGAAGGACTTCAGTTGGGAATGATCATCTGGATGAGAAGTTTTAGTCAGAGTAGTAACTATATCAATCACATTGATGATGTGCACAGGAGTCCAAAACAGAAAGAAAGCCACAACGATGCTGACCACAAGTCTCTTCTTGTAAGTCTTAACGTTTGCCCCCTGATTTCTGGGTTTCTGGTCCTGTGGAGCTCGAGGTAGACTGGAGCTCTTGGCTTTTTGGCTCAAGCCTTTGTGTAACCAGAGATAACATGTTAACATGATCAAAAATGGAATGACGAACCCCAACAGGATCTCAAGAAGCAAAACAGCCACTACTATAGGCCGTGACTCCATTGTCCTCTGACATCTTTGCAATCCATCCTTGTCTTTGAGTCCTTGAGTGAAAAATATTGGTAGGGCAAAAACAAAGGCTAGAATCCAGATGCCAGTCAGATGAAGGTGTCTGTGTCGTATTTCCAGTCTGTGCAGTAGCTTCCTGTTAGTGACCCTTGACTTGATGACATTGTGATAACGGTACACACTCATGGAGGTGACCGTCAGGACACCAACATACAGACTCCAGTGACCCAAGAAGAACAGGATCCTACAAGACCAAAGGCCAAGTTTCCATCCAAACAGTATTCCACACAGCACGACAGGAGCCAAGCAAAGGGTCAAAGCATCAGAGACAGCAAGGTTTAGCATTAGACTTAAGGTAAAGCTAAAATGTGTGTTCCACTCACAAGCAATGCTGATGATTACTGCGATATTGCTTGGCAAACCCACCAAACAGCACAAACCCAGAACTACAGCAGGAGCAATCTGTTCTGAACCCACAGCAGTGCTGTTAGATGTGGAATTGAAGCTTACTTTGAGCTCCATCATGATCAAATATTTTGAATCTCTAATGTTAGAAACAAAATATACAAGTTATTGAAGATAACCCCTCCCACGAAACAACATTATGCCAAATGGCATGCTCACCTATAGCTGGAAAAATAAACAAAGATCACACATCATAGCCACAAGCAAAGGTTTTAGTAGCACTTTCATTAATAAGTTATTAGCAATATGACAGTATATCATTGTATTATAAAAGATCATTAGTTAGCCTACTGTACAAACAAATATGAATAAATATGAAAATGTGATAACAATTTTATGACAACTCAATTTTTATTTACATTCATTAATGATCTGTTTAGGATTATAATGTAAAATTATAGTTATAATAAACTAACCAATATTTTTTTTTAAATACCTGCAAATTCACATAAAATTAAAAACACTTAAGAAAAACATAAATAGTAATTTAAAATACAAATGAATGAATGAATGATTGTGCTGTCCCTGGCTGTGGGGCAGCAAATGTGGCATAACTTTTTGGCTAAAGTTTATTTTTCTGATATAAGTTCTGATTCATGTCAGTCATTTAACAACCTGTTTAGTTCCTAGGGTCAGAAAGAGTGTATACATTGGCTAAAACTATTGATTGTATGACTGTTTTGAAATGATTATCGTTTTGGGTCAAATAAACCTGTTAGACATGAAGAAGAAAAAAAAGAGAGAAAAAAAAAAAAAAACACCACCATAAAAGGAGCTTAATCTATTTTTAGATATTGTTTAACATCAAATATATCATTTTAATATTTTATTTGGTCAGTTATTTTATTAAGAATACCATATTCTGTACCATAATTTGCCATACAGCATATCAGTTTAATGCCCAAAATTAAGACATACACATTAACAACAACAAAAAAATAAAATAAAACAAAGGAAATCTGCATAATCTCAAAGAGAACAATTTATTATAAAAAGCACTGACAAATATACAAGGTTAAAAAAAAGTCACTGAAACATTTTTTTTTCTAAAGACATTGTATTCATCACTTAGTTGAACATAAAAATGTAGTTACTTGATGACAAAGTTCAATAACAAAGACTTACAATGTATCTATAAAGGAGAAAAAAATGCACACATTTCTACGCAATGTAATGCCTCACAATGTAAAACCTCGGCATCGTCGAAACACCAGCACTTTATCTGTCACCCGTGCCTTCCCATCAGACTGTGCTCACAGAGACAGCCCACAGTCAAGACAAAACCATTTGCTTCTCAATTGTAGATGAAGTTAAACCTGTGCAGGGGAATGAATAGGTTGAGTGTTATAGGATGAATGAATGAATAGGATTTACAACATTACCTCTTTCCCCGCCAGTGTTAAAAAAAATGTTACCAGCCACTGCCAGGATTTTTGATCATTTTAACAAAACCTTTCACAGAATATTTTGTTGCAAGAATATCTGAACATGCACTGTTCAGTATGCAAAAGAAAGAACAGAGCCTCAGCTCTGTTTAATTCTAGCTTGAAAGTAAGTTTCATAAAATAAGCAACATTTTGAACAAAAAGCTGAGAAAATCGTGTATTTTCAACATTTTCAGGGGCTAGTCAGTGATTTTACTGCCGGCCGAATCCAGAATGTCAGTGTTTTTCTCCCACCACTTGCGTAAAAATCCTGACCGAATTACCTACTGTTTTTTGACAAACATCAAGGTTGTGTGGTAATTTACTTGCCATCCGAATCCACATCACTAAGTTTACAAGAAGAGATCAATTAAAAATTCACTCTTTAAATCCTTTTTGACCACTGCCGAGCACCAAACGGCTGTGTTTCGCTGTAATTTGGATACATTTTAAAGATGTAGCCTACACTTTTTTTTTGAAATGCTGGAAAGTATTTACAAGAATGATATTTCACCACTGCTCAAAGGAGAAAGAAGAAAAGCATGTCAACATTTGAAATGGGCTGGCATGGCAGCAATTATTTACATTAAAATATTAAGCAAGCAGCTTTGTTTACCTCATGTAAATAAGAGGCTGTATTCGATTATTTCTGCTAATTTTTAAAATGACATCCACCATTTTGAGATGAAATACAAGACAGAAACTATTTTAACTAAAGCGCATCTGTCTTCCTATTTTTAAACAGGAGATTTAAACAATCAAATAATAAATAGGATATTTTCTAATAATAAATTAAATATGAATTTTATTTTTATTATTCTAAGCATTTTATGCATGATAGAAGACAATCATGCGACGGACCACGTTCCCGGGTTAGAAAAACTCGCAAAATTACAAAACTCGCTCCTCCACCATGAATTAATCGCCATCTGAATGCATGAGTTTTATTACTGAGGTGTCATGTCAAGCAAATTTATTTTTACGGACATCCACATGAGAAACAATTATCGTCCGAATAGGGATAAATACTACGTCTGGATTGGATTCAGAACAATGATGGAGTAGATCACTTCTGTCAATACCTCATCCTGGGTTAACATTTTATTCAGTAACCTTAGGCAGTTTTGATTTATATGCTGTATAATGTTTGATGATTGCGCTATTTTACATATGCATCTGCTTACATATGCTATCACTTTTTTTCTGCTGCTTCTTCACCTGTGTTTTAAACCTGAGAATTTGTATTATTTCATAAGATGCATTACCTGTCAATGGCGGGGGAAAGAGTTAATTTAATTAGACATAATTTATCAATATTGTTTAAATGATGTGAAGCCTATTTACTAGATGCTTTCATAACCCATCCAAACACCTCACCTGCTCAGTAGCTGAGGAAGACTGGATATAATCGGGCCGTAGCCAGGAGCATTATCATAAAGCTCAAACAAGGGGGCGGCCACCAGCTTGTAGTTCTTTGGCACAGCAAACAATGCTAAAGACACACAACACACAAGTTAAGCTGTATAATCACATTTTACACAAGGTGCATTGAGTAAACAAAACATATCTTGCCCTACCTTTCTCTTGCAGCTGTACTAGAAAAAGCTTCTTATGTTCTTTAGGTTTAGTGATGTGTGCTGGAATATATGGGTACTGTGGAAAGAAACGAGATATGAAGCAAAATCTTAGTATGCTTGAAAGTGGAAAAATATATATATATATATACTGTTGGTGATCCTGTGCGTGGTGTTTGTCTGAGGAAAAAGGAACGGAGTAGTTACCACCTGAGGTGGTTCAAAGTTTGGTCTCCACCAGTTCCCAATACAGTCATCAATGACCCAGTCCTGTTTCACTCCATCCTGACGCCCCAAAATCTTGACAAGAAAATTAGGAATTATTCTCCAATGTATTTTAAATACATTTCTGCTAGTTTTAATACGTATGGCATTTTAATGTCATACAAGATGGTACGATACTCTGGCCCTGTATATACCTGGTATTAAGATGCCTTTGTCGATTGGATCACAAGTGGGCGACGCTAAATACAGGTGTAAACGGGGTCTAAAACATTTTGAGCTTGTCCACTTTGTTTCGACCACTTCCAGAGGTAGTTGAAAACGCATTCGAACCGAGCGCTTTCGTAGTGTAATGTAGTCGAATGTGTTTGAACAGACACAGAAGACAGCACACTCTCTGCCTACTGACCTGATGCTCTCCATGTTTTTCCGTCGTCTCCAGTTGCATTCATTTGTAAATTGCGCATGATTATTTCATCCATTAGATCGAAAGATCTAAAAAACGCCCATACTTTTACCTGCCTAAAGACCCTCCCCTCAAAGAAATCAGGATAGAAGTGGTTGAAAATGGACAAAAGAGACGGATTAAAACCCCAGGTGTAAAAGGGAATGTGTCTCCCTCGTCTACCTGTGATCCGATCGACCATAACATAATACCAGACCAAATCTTAATACCAGGTGTAAATAAGGCCTCTGATAGTAAGTGTTTTTGTCTTGGCTGATCTCTAAAGTGAACAGATTGTAGTTAAATAAAAACTGTAAATGCCATTAATTAATACCGTATTAAATACAGTTAGAAAACCAATGATACCTCTGTCATCAGTCGTTTTAACCCCTCCACCTCATCTTCTCCAGGGTTCAACTCACCACCAGGACTGCAAAAACACAATATGTAAACTGTCAGGCACTGACAATAAACGTTGATAGACACATTTTCACCAAATGCACAATGGATGAACAATCAAAACAAAACAATGCAAAGAAAAGCAACACGTCATAGCAAATCAAACGCAAGGATAGATACGTTCCTTTTGAAAAGGTTAACCGCTAAAACGGCACCTATTTGAATCGATTACATCCACACAAACTCCAGTGAAGCAGTGACCCCTTACAGTTTGAAGAAGGTGGTTCCCAGCTGTAGGAGCAGCACGTGAGGGAGTCTGTGCTCGTGCACGATCAGAACTCCCTCCACTGTCCGCCGCATCCCGATTTTCTCAAACTCCTCCCGCATCCGCTGAAAGCGTGCGGCTACCGAGCTGTCCTTCTCATAGAGCGGCTCCTTGGTGCCGAATGTGTAATTTGTTAGAGGGTATCTGCGAAAAACATCATAATGTTCAGGAGTTCCATCATTTAAATATAGGATATGACAGAACGTTATTGATCCACTATTAACAATAGGCGCTCGTGTTGAGGAGCACTTCAACCCCTGATTAATTGTTCAACCCCACAAATAAAACGGATAAGAAAACAGTACTAACTACTAGGGGTGTCACGATTCTCCAAATCCTCGATTCGATTACATTTTCGATTCTAAGGTCACGGTTCGATTCGATTCTCGATTTTTACATTTACTTTTTTAAAGCCGAAACCGGCCAATCAGGATGCTCTCTGTCTTACATGCGCTTCATGAGGCACATACGCAAGATCTCTCGCTCTCTCCCGTGCGCGGGCGCTATACGGTTTGGAGCACAGTTTTTTCTGTCTCGCATGCGCGATTGCTCGCTCTTGCTCGCTCGCTCACTCTAGATTCCGGGAGATTAACTAATTTGCGAGCATCAGGGAGCCGCTATCAATATGCGGGAGACTGCAGGAACTTCCGCGAGACTTGGGATGTCTGCAAAGTAAACTGTGGCTTTTTTGAAGCGCGAACGTTGTCAACATAACTCACTGGAAATCCAAAAAACTTACACACCTGCGACTTCAATGAAAGAGGAGGGGGTTCAAGTTCTGTCGATGGGTCTCCTGCATCTGCAGTTGCCATGCTATCTTTTGAATGGCTGTAGCTAAGAGGAGGTTGACCATAGACTCGCAGCGTGTTTTTTTCCCGCTTGGCACGCCGACCGGACGTGACATGGGGGCGTGTCAGCATCGACGATTCCATTTTTTAATTCAATCGATTCGATTTTTTTTTAATTTCGATCGATTTCGATTTAAGATCGAAATCGTGACACCCTTACTAACTACTGTATATGGAATGGAATACAACAAAAACAGATCCTTGAATGCCAGTTATTTTGTACTATCGATACATGTGCATGTCAATATAAATGTACAAAGATATGGGCAATACATGAAATCAAACTCAGTAGATCTCAATCAGGTTCCTAGGTCGTGAATCAGTATATCGTGTCGATGAATTCGGGCACTGGTAAGGACAGTAAAGAACACTGGCTCAGTACACATTGAGACACTGGTGACTCTTTCCGGCCAGTAACATCACTACTGGTATTTATGAACAACAGCAGAAATTACATCTTTCTGACATTAGGTTTTAATGTTATTTATAATAATGAAACATAGAAATACTTTGCTTGTTATATACGTGCAACATTTCAGCCATAAATAAATTATACATTTTAGCTAGATTTTGTAAACTAAGTTACTTGTCTGATGTATGTTTATGCTGAGTATTAAAAATAAACATATCACGTGTCATTGTGGGTAGTGATTTGGCTTACGTATTTTACGTTAGGGAACATAGTGAGAATCGATGCTCCCTGGTTTTCAAGGTGCATTGCGGGAATTATAGGGGAACGAACGTTTCAGTGCACTGGAACGATTCTGCGATTGAGACAGCCCTTAAAATGTCCGACTCCCTTATCAGTCACCAGACTACTGAACTGGGGAGCTGATTGAGACGCACCCAGTGTATTGTTACGCATCCAAACAGCAGTAACATTAGGCAGGACGGAGCATTTTCAAATGTCAATGCTCTTTCAAAAAGAAGCTATAAGGGATCGCTGAGCATTAGTTATGAAAGAAAAGTAACAGCACGTCGTTTGCAGTGGTGAATTCTACTCACAGGTTGATTGTTCTCTCCAGGGTGAGCGGTTTAGCCGGCTGGCTAATATATTTATTGCCGAACTGATTTACTCCACGAGGCCAACCGGTAGATGATCGATTAGGAGGTACAACTGACATCGTACGACGAATAATATAGTCGCTTCTTAATCTTTGCTCTAATCACTTTTTTTTTTTACTGTTGATTGCGATATTAGTGGGATTGAATTGCACAGCCTTGGCGCTCGATGAAAACCGTAATACGGCACTCTGTCTCTGTTGTGAAAGCACATCCGGGACATCGGGCTACTTCCTGTGTTACGACCGTACGTTTTGCTTTACGTCATGTCTGCGTCAGCGAGGCTAATACATATTATATCGATAGATAAGTTCATTTTTTTATATTTTGTTCTTTCTTTCTTGATCGTTTAATCAATCTATAGTTTTAAAATAAAACATATAAATGAATGTGACTTGAGTTGACTAATCTACATTTATTTATTCATTTACCATTGCAAGTAGGCCTAATCACACGATGAAAAAAATAACCTTCTTAAAATAAACATTTTAGTTAAACCATTGATTTGTGGTAAAGAATAGCGAAACCAACATCGAATAAAATCTACTTCTAATACCGTTATCACCTTGTTATAAAACAGTAGCTTTTACAACAGAAATATATATATATATATATATATATATATATATATATATATATATATATATATATATATATATATATATATATATATATATATATATATATATATTTCAGTTTACATAGGCTATATAACTTTGATGTGATCTCTTCATTCGTTTATTTTAAGGAGTAAAATGAGAGATCCTGCGTGGTTTTAAAATACTTTTATTGTTTTACACTTTTTGTGTGTACATATTTTTTTAACATTATGGTGGTTGGAGTCAGGAACAGACTACATCCAGAATTAATATGCAACATTGGTTTCCTTTCTTGCTTTCGTGGTTTTGTGTCTCGCTGTGTTACTCTACATTCATTTTTACTAGTGCAATTAACCACATTATGAAAACAAAGTATACAATGCAACCTATGTGAAAAAGCACCCTTCTCAAAATAAACCATTTTTATTATTACGCTTTAGGGAGTAATAAAAAAATAAGAGTAGGCCTTTAAACTAACACTGAATAAAAACTATTTCTAATACAGTTATCACCCTTAGTGCAATTTATTTTATTCCATCATAGTTTCCATCTAAGTCATCATCAGATGTTGCATCCTTGAGAAATCATACAAATCAATGCAGCAAGACTGCTTTTTAGGGGAATCATATAAATCAATGCAACAGTATTGCAATTTGAAAATTCAACATGTTTGCAAGAGATCTAGGGAATTTTGCATTGCTATATGGCTGCCCTGTAATAACAAAGTGCATTATGGTCTCTGAAATGTTATCATATGTCGTGTGTTCATTTGCCCTCATTACATGAGGTTTAGCAGGGACAATACATTCTTGCCTAAAGCCTAAGGCACTGTCATTGTTAGATAGTCTCTAATTTTGTTGTTGGGTTTAAAAAACAGTCAACTGAAAACATCAAATACATTGTAATAATAATTAAAAAATATATATTTATATTACATAAGTATAGTGCTCATCTCAAAGGCATTAACAATTGCTGTTTTAGTCATCTTTGGCAACTTAATTAAGAATTCAACCAATGTGGTCAATACATTTTTATCAAATGAGGGCAAATATCACACAATATATCATAAGCCTAACAAAGACAACTATTAATCCTGCAAGGCAAGTCGATCAACTTAAAGATAAATTGAAACAAAAATACTTGATGTCTTAAGAATATGTTCCAGAATATTACTGAGTAAAATACACTAAATTGTGCAAAAAGCAGTGCATTATTTCAGTTTTCTTTCTGTGAGGTCTGATTTTTAACCCCTAGACCTCTCACATTAATACATCCATAATATAATTAAACCAGTACTTTTATATGCCTTTAAATATATTGAAATACAAGTGTGTTGCATATATATTGAAATACAAGTATGTGCTTCATTATAAGGTCAATTTTTAACAAAATATGTTATTTATGTCATTATTTTTTACAGTTAAGTTTTAGGGAAAATTAAAATCACAGCTCCACAAAGCAGAAACTCCAACACACAGACTAAAGTGCATTCAAACTCGGGCCACAATAATTTATGATATTGCATACAGTTCACATGTGTTGTAGTCATTGGGGAAGGAAATGCTTAATATAGCCTTTCTTTGGCATCTTCAAAATGATCTTGATGTAGCCTGAACTCCTTATAGGCTTTGAGAAAGGTTTATTGTAAATATTCCATCTCCAAAGAGTTGCTCCAAAAGATTGATAAAAATCCATCTTCCACCAATGGCCTACTGAGTGAATCTTCATGAAGGGCTGGTCAGCGCAAGTTTACTTGATATATCACCGCCACATCTACTATTCAGATACATTTGAGCCTTCTCTTCTGATGTTGGAATAATATGCAATCCAAGTGTCATGCTTTCAAATGGATCCCTCTTAAAGAAACAATAAACAAGACAACCGTAAGTTTGAGGTAGATTTTAATAGCATAAAACTATACTTCTTAGACAGTAGATTTTAACATCACAGGGATCTTCAGGCTGTTAGTAACTGTTGATCATTACCTGTTCATCTCTCAGGAAGGATCTGTGCTAGCTGTCATATCAGGTCTTCACTGCTCCTCATAGCCAGCGGTCGGGTACGTCTCTCCCCCCTGACCCTGAAACATGTACTGGGTCACAGCAGCAGGGATTAGGGCATTAGTCAGCTCCTGCAAATGCACAAATAAATAGTTTAGAAAATAGTCCATATATAATGGGTACTTGATCATGCAATTATCAATTCGAAAAATGTCACTTTGAGCCATTATGCAGCTGATTGTGTAATGACAGTAAACTCACTGATTTCAGGTTTGGGTCCATTTCTGTGAAGTTCCACTCATTCAAAGGCAGACTAAATGTGAAAGGCTGTGAGAAAGAGTAGAGGCTATAGGTTAATGGGGGTATGTATGTTAAGGTCATTACTATGATCCTCTCATTCACTTGTATGTGTGTAAATAGTGGATTCGCTCTCTCGTCCTGTATAGATTCATACTTACATCCATTGCTGCAGCACTGCTTTCCATGCTCTGCTGGTGACTCCTCAGAAGCAGCTGTAAATCATCCAGGCTCATGTCAACGTTCTCCACGCCATCAGGAATTTCTGGTCTTTGACATATACACACAAGTTAAACTTAAAGTGAGTGGTGCTTGTCTGTCTAAAACAAAAGTCTTAACTGTGCCAAGTTGTAGATATTTGTTACTCTGACATGGATGGTATATTATACCTCTCCAGCATGGGTCTTTTGGCCCTTCTCTCTCCCAAATTAGATCCTCGGCCCTCTAGGACGGACTGCACCATGGCAACAGGGAGGACGGGGGGTTCAGGGCACACCTCACAGGAGCTGAGTGGTACACCCTCTCCTCGTCCCTGCACCCCAGGACTCGCCGGCTCCTCCTTAATCAGCATCAGACACTTTTCCCTAAACAAACAGATCGCATATTAATCCAAGGAAAACTAGGGTCCTCTGAAATCCATTTGATTCCCCCCCCCCCCCCCCCCCCCCAGAAATTCAGTTGTCTGCTTTAATTTTTCTGGATTCTGTGTTTTATAATTGAATACAAAATGTATTATCAAAACCGTTGGTAATCATACGATTGCATAAAACATTAACAATTCAATTAATCTTTTTAAATGTAATTAAATGAAATGTAAACAATTCCTTTTTTTTTGTGTGTGTGTGTGTGTGTGTGTGTGTGCAAACAAAGCACTGCAAAACAGATGCACAGATGTTTCCTGGAAAAATAATTGTGATATTGTGTGATGTTTCTGGGGGGGATTATTATTAAATTAATTAGCCTATTTAATATTTTATTATTACTGTGAGAAGTAGAAGTACATTCTACTGTACAATAATATCCTAATTTATTTCTGTTATAATTTCTTCAAGTTGAACCAAACTTTTATACAGTATTTACCATTTTTATGACTGAATTCATTCCGTGAATCCATTATGTGTTTTTCGAAGTGGCTAAAGGGATAGTTCGCTTTGTTTTCTCACCCTATATTGTTCCAAACCTGTATGACTTACACAGGCTACTTGTGTGGAACACAAAAGAAGATATTTTGAAGAATGTTTGTGTGACTGTGTCCATAGTCCAAGTCAGTGGGGTCCAAAACAACATGAATATACAGTGCAATTTTAATGTATGGACAAAACAGTTTTCATTTTTGGGTGAACTATCCTTTAACCCTGAAGGTCGGCCCACTCACCTTGATTCCTCTGCCTGCATTTGTAAAGCCATGGTGGTGGACTGTGAAATTTCAGTGACATCAGAAATGATTGGCCCTCCTGTCATCACACTGCTAGTGGAGCAGGATGCACTTTCTGTGGATGGCTGGTAGAACATGAGAGAGATTCTGTGTTTGTCATTTTTTATTGATCGAGAAAGCCATCAAAACACCAGTTGTACGAGGCATGATATAGTGAGAAAAATCTTCTCTGTCAGATACTCGATCTTTAATATGAAAGCTTTCTCACCGACTGGATATAGAAGGATTCTTGCAAGGACTCCATGGAGTGGCTATGGCTGAATTTGGAGGCAGGAGGGGTGGAGCAACCATCATCCAGCATGAGAGGACTGGAGAGAAGGAAAAATGCAGCATATCATTGAAAGAAGCCACATTATTATCAATAAGGGTCAAATACAAAGACCTTTTGACTACTGTTCAGAACTATTGCACCCTATGGTAAGACAGTGAAAGAAACGTTGGAACAATGTTGTTATTAGTTAGCCACTTAAAAGTTACAGCGAGGTAAAGAGCTCTGGCTCTTGCCGTCCCTCTTACCCAGTTTGTTCTCATGCGTCACACTAGCTGACGGTGCACCTTTTAATAGAAGGTAGAGGGTCATGCGCTACAATTCAGGTGTGTGCGTGTTTGTGGGTGCGTGTGTGAGGGCAAGAGCTCAGGAGGTCTGACTCAGCATTCAGGTCCATTCATCGCAGCGAGGGCAGTGAATTGTATCAGCTGACTGTTTCCAGCTGAGTTGGCCGTTCCCTCTACTGTGTTTGTGTTGGAGCATCAGGCTGTTGATTGCTATTTTCTGTTTGCTCTTTTTTTTGTTTGTGAATATGTGTCAATACAAAATCGAGTGCTTCAGATTAGTGTTTGTGTTGAAGTGTGTGTTACAGATGAATGGGTACACTCACA